TTTTTTTTTTGTAGAGCGCCGTGTGTCTTCTCGGATGTGTTCCACATTGATCCAGATGACCACAGCTCCGAGTTTTCTTTTTTGTTGATTTTCTTCACAAAAGAGATCCAAATCTGCAGGCCGACATCTAATCCTGCCAGCCTCCACAGGCTCTCGCTTGGGCCTCATTACATAAGCACGCTCGGAAAATGGGGAGGGAAGACGGGAAGGAGCGGACTTAACTGCACTTGTGGTAATTATCTCGCACTCCACGGCGGCACTTTAGCTCTTTCTGATCATGCTGACGCGAGCGCTATAGATTGTAAGCCCAAACTTTCATGTTTCCTTCCAATTCATTTCAACCCTTCAGGCCTTGATCGATTTTCAGCTTGTTTGTGGCCTTTCTTTGACATAGTCTGTAATTTATTTAAAAATATATATTTTTGAAACTTCTTCTACGGCTTAAAATTTAAATATCATCAATTCCTGTCATCTGTATAAAATATCGATGATTTTTTGTTTTGTCACCCTTTAAATTCGAGCGTGTTTGCCCAATTCCTGAGCTCCATTGGATGAAAGTGAAGCGTTAAAAAAAAGGACACGAACAGGAGGCAGAGAAGGTCCACAACTAAACTGCAGGAATAGTCATTGTTCTTGCAGATTCTAGACCTGTGAGTAATGTTTTATACTTAATGTGAATAATTTTGTCTACTATTATTGTATGGTTTGGTTACAGATACAATGTGTATTTATTCTGTCCTCTGTGTTTGTTTTCCAGTCAACTTCAACTGAAACACCTTAAAGCAACCATGCTCTGCCTCTATTTGCAGGGTCAGTTTCCTCACAGTGATGTTGTACAATAGTCTCCTATTTTGAGACGAGAGAGGGAGAAGCAGGTACTAGGGGATAATGAGTGTTTTCAAGTTTAAGTGTGTTTGAACAAATTTCAATATATTTTTAACACCTCTAAATGGGTTTAATGCATGTGGGAATCGGTGAACTACTTAAAAACAACATTGACCAAGGGTCGCGGGGCGTGCCGGACCCTAACCCAGCTGTCTTCGGGCAGCAGGCGGGGGACACC